CAATTTACAAATTCGATGTGACATGAACTAATAGTATTCCACGAGTTCAATTTGAAAACATACATGTCTATATGTAAAACGTGTAATGGTATAAATGAAGACTTTTGTCGGAACAACTTAAAATCGTTCATAAGCAAACACGTTATAAGATATTTGTATGGAAAACAAATTATCGTTCACGGACAATAACAAAAATCGGGGTGGGGACGGACCACCTAGCTTGATTAGGTTCCAAATACTTTAAAAATAATATGTTTCGTTTGTAGTTTTCATATAACGGAGGCATTATTTAGTCTTCTTCACGGCCTTTGCATGAAAAACCTTAGTACGTACACACACAAATATATATATATATATATATATATAACTATAATTTTCAAGTATGAAATATGTGTGTTGATTTGAGATCATGTAAGACTACTTAGGTTTTTCTGAACCACTTCTAGCCTTGGATGAGTTGACCTCGCCAAACCTTCACAAAAAACATTCATAATAAAACACACTGAAAAAATTACATGATCCAACTTTCACATGAAAAAATGTAACAAACCTTTATAGGAAAAACACACCAACAATTTACAGGAAACACACATTAAACCATCACAGTAGTCTCACATGTCTCATGAACAGTGGTGGGCCCACATCAGTGCATACATTGGTGTCTGCCTCTGTCGTAATGTAAAAAAAATTAGGGTCATCAAAGATGCCATCTTATCTTTCTATCATTTTGTTGTGTGCAACCATATATATTTTAAAATTACATTGATAACACAAATTTTCTTTGTTTGTGTCATTTTTTCTTAATTTTTAACCTTAAATTTTATATTTATTTGGTTTTAGAATATTTTTGCAATAAAAGACTCGAACACACATGATCTTATAAAAAACAAAGAACTAACCAACAGTTTAAGTCAAATTGTATCCTCGCTTTTAAGTCTGCATCAACTTATGAGAACTGAACAGTTTCATGAGAACCCAAACCTATGTGTTGTACATATCGTACTTTTCCACATATCGACTCATGAAATAACAAAACTCGTGTTCATTGACTTTGGCATCTTATTTCAAGTCAAAGTGTTGACCCGTAAACTACATTTTTGAATAGACATATTAAATGATCATTTTAATCTTATAAAATATAATTTAGAGTAAAATACAAATTTGGTCCACAGAGTTTGTCAGATATAATACTTTTTTGTTTTCTGTAGTTTCAAAATTATAAAATTACAATCATGGTTTGTAAAAATGTCCAGATTATATCATTTCCTTTAAAGGGTTATTAATAATTATGTTAAATGAATGGTATTTTCATCATTTTATTGAAAATTGATTTTAATCGAATAAAAGACAAAAGAATCTATTAAAAGATTAAAAAAAACCCTGTCATTTAACGAAATTTTTAAGGCTATTAGAAAATGGGACCAAATCCAGATGTTTTTGCAAATCATAAAAGACATCTTATAATTTTGATACAGTAGAAAAAAAATTGTTATTTATGATAAATTATAGGGATTAAATTTGTACTTAATTCAATAATTTATTACAAATTTACGTAAACGTTAGATTGAGTTTGCGCAGACAATCGAAATATATCTCGTTCTTTGACTAGAACAAAGTCATTTGATTTTCATTAAATTAATTAAAATAATAATATAATAGTAAGCCGGAGCCTCCAGTAGCACAGTCGAGACAGCGACGGATTCTCTGCTCCTGTGGGGATGGAGCGACTGAAGTTTTGAGAATTCAAGAGAAGGTCACGGCGAGACGAGCCGTTTATCATTACGATAGATGTCAAGTGGAAGTGCAGTGATGTATGCAGCTGAGGCATCCGGACAGACCGGTAGACTTGAACCTTGTTCCTACATGACCCGATCAATTCGATCGGGCACTCGCCATCTATTTTCATTGTTCAACTCTTTAACAACACGAAAAAAACCATTGTTCAACTCTTTGACAACATGTCAAACCTATAGTGTAATGTATTTTTTTAATCACATCGGGTTTTTTTTAATTTCGTTCGAATCTACATCTTATTCATTGTTCAAAAAGGTTCGTCGCAACAGCCGTCATGGTGCATCATGGTCTAAGGCTTACGTCTCAAGTCACGTTAAGCCTAAGGCATTTCATGGCGTTTGTTACATGATATTTGATTTTACATATACTTTTAACGTTTTGTTTATCATTTTTAATATATAACTTAATTTAAATTGTTTATTATAAAGAATTCACTGATTAATAGTGAAAAGCATATATTTATGTATATGAAAAACCGTTTTGAAAATTGTTACAACCTCACCGTGACTTTCAGACTTAAGATTTAACCTTACCGTAACACTACGCGTTTGTTTTTTAAGAGGTGCTGAAGTATGAAGTCTGAATTCACTTCTGATTTTTAAGAGGTGGTGCTGAAGTCTGAAATCTGAATCAGTCAGACTATTTGTTTTTTGCGTCTGAAATATGAAGTTTGAAGATGAGAGATCGAGAGTTGATATGGATCGACAGTTGACAGAGTTGAGAGATAAGAGATCGAGACAGAAGAGTTGATCCATAGAAATCGAGCGCAAAGAGATCAGAGTAGGTAGGCGACGATTTGAAATAAGAGGTAATAAGAGGTTTTGCAACCACTGAAATTTTCAGACCTAATAAAAGCTTTTAAGCTCTTAATTGAAAAAAAAAACAAACCCACTGAATCATCTTATGTCTGACCGATTCAGACTTAAGAGGACATTAAAAGCTTTTTTATTAAAAACAAACGGTCACGTCTCATTCTATTTAAAACCTTGATTTCAATTGGGTTAATGATTATTGTGTTTCATACCTAATTTTCATATATTTTTCATATCCAGTTTGTTTTCTTTTCCTTTCCTTAACACTACAACAAAATTGAGTTTATAGGACACCCCCAATATTTAAGTGTCCCAATAGACCATTTTATAGGACTTAATTTATAGAACCAAAATATAAAGCGTTCTATCTAAAGGTGTTGTAATAAGTTTATATGACGCTCTTGAACGTCTTAACAAGTTTTTTAGGACATTTTTTATTACAAAGTGTCGAATTAACAACTTTATAGAACACTTTTGAAAAAGTGTCATATAAACTCAACTTTTTATAGGACATTTGTTTTTATAGGACAGTTTTTCAAATAGTGTCCTATAAAGTTGTTAATGAGACGTTTTATATTAAAAGTGTTCTAAAAAACTTATTACGACGTTAAAAAACGTCATATAAACTTATTACAATGTCTTTAGATAGAATGTTTTATTTTTTTGGTCCTATAAACTAAGTCTTATAAAAAAGTCTATTAGAACACTTAGAAATTGGGAATGTTCTATAAATCCGATTTTGTTGTAGTATAACCAACTAAATCATAAATTGATAGGTCGAATGCCAAAGGTCTACTTAAATATTTTTTACTAAAATTTATTAAATATGTTCAATAAAATTTATTTAAATATAATTTAAAAAAATCAATTTCAGAGCATTTCCAAAAACAGATTATTTAGAATAAAAAAATAGATTTTTTTTATTATTTTAAAAATATTTTTAGTGGATTCTTCAAAATTTTCCCAAAATAAATGATTAAAAATCAAAATCTTCAAAACTAATTCATTCAATTTTAGTAATTTTGCAAATTACAGTATTCATTATAATATTTATAAGTATTTAATTTTATGGTTTTTATTGTTGGAAATATAATAAAGTTTGTTCTTCTTTCAGGTATGCATTTATTATAGTTCTTCAAATCTGGAAAAAAAAATTGTTTATTTTCATATTATTATTTTAAAAATCTCAAATATCTGGAGTTTTTCTTTGTATATTATAGGGGTGATCCGATCATTCATGGATGTTGATAAGATCCATCCATTTAACAGCACCTTAGGATGACATAGCTTTAAAATTAAAGACGAGATTCAAATACGACACGAGAATTAAATCTGTATTCTAGTATTATGCTCTCGTTTTTTGAAAATCTGTTTAAGAAATAAGTTATCCAAAAACACAAAAATTTGTATGATATTTATTTTCTAGATTTTGTTGGATATGTCCAAATCTAAACTTTTTACTTGAAACATGGAAAAAGTAAGATGAGATCATCCAAACTTAAAAGAGGAAAAAAAAATGGGTATTATTTTTTTTTTACCAAAAATAGAAATAATTTTTATTAAAGAGAGAGAAAAAAAAAGAAATAATATTTTATTAATTTTATTAAATATTTTAATGATATGATTGATTTTATAATCTTTAAAAATAGAAAAACTGTTATTGTTGATGCTTATTTTTTTTTTTCTTTCAAATTTTTTATTTTTAATTCTCCCTTATAAAACATTTGTTGATACATGAAAAAATATAAATGTAAAAAATATTCATATTTTTTTATTAATTTGGATATTCAATCTGCTATGCGAGCCGACTAATTTCAGAATGACCACTTGCTTTGCAGATAGCTTGGAGTCACCGCATTTGAACCTTCGTGACCACAAGAAATTTTTATTCCTCTTTGGATTTGAATATGTGACTTCTTGTTATTTTCGACATTTTGGAGCCAAGTTCAAACCAATCAGACACCACTGTTGTGGCTAAAATATTCATATTTAAATGTATGTCAAAATCATCACACAATCCATATATCGTATATCATTGTATTTAACGACCATTGGCATATTCGATGTTTTGTCTATGTATAACCAACAAAATCGTTCAAATAAACGACAAAATAAGACACATAAGAAAGTAAATGAGAAATACGATACTGAAACAAACATATATAAAATCCTTGACAAAAATCCGAAAATTAACGTTATCAGAAAAGGGTCCGGTAAATCATCATTTAAAAACCTTAAAATATTATAATATCCATTTTTTTTTATTAATCTGGATATCCAGTTCGTTATCTATTGACAACCAATAACATATTCCATATCTATATGAAACTAACAAAGCTGGTCAAACAAACGACAAAATAACACAAATAACAAAGTAAATGAGAAATACGATACTGAAACAAACATACACATAATTCGAAACAAAAAACAAGAATCCACAGATTAACGACATGAATAAGGGGTTCAGTAAATCATCAAATAGACAGATAGATAGATAAATAGATAGATAGATATAACTATATAAAATTGTAAATTCTAGAAGTTTTATAAAATGGGTGATGGAAAAATGGATCAATTTTGCCTATAAGCAATGTAATCAGCAAGAGCAATTAAAGGAGCAGCTTTCCGATGATCGAATTCCGACAACTGTTGTCGTGCCTCCTTGTTCAATTTCTCTGCAAATTCTCTTGATTTCTCGATCCCCAATAACTTTGGATATGTGGTTTTGTCAGCCACCAAATCTTTTCCGGCGGTTTTCCCCAATTCTTCTGAAGATTTTGTCACGTCAAGAATGTCATCCACCACCTGAAACAAAAGTCCGATCGATCGAGCAAATGTTCGGAGTTTTTCGATTTCTTCGTCGGAGCCGCCGCCCATAATGGCGCCGAGGACGACGGAAGCTTCCAGCAACGCCGCCGTCTTGTGTAAATGGATGAACTCGAGGTGCTCTAATCCGACGTCGGCACCTTCGGAGCAAATATCGACAACCTGACCGGCGACGAGGCCTTCGGAGCCGACACACTTCGCGAGTTCGGCGACGGCTCGGAGAATCCGGTCGGGTGACACGTTTTTGGTGGCGGTGGCGATGTGTTCGAAGGAGAATGAGAGTAAGGCGTCGCCGGCGAGAACAGCGATGTCTTCGCCGTACACCATGTGGTTGGTGGGCTTTCCACGGCGGAAGTCGTCGTTATCCATGCAAGGGAGGTCGTCGTGCATTAAAGACATGGTGTGAATCATCTCAACAGCGCAGGCGGAGGGCATGGCGGTTAACTGGTCGCCTCCGACGATTTCGCAGGCGGCGATACACAGCATCGGTCGGATGCGTTTCCCGCCGGCGAGGAGGGAGTACCGCATGGATTCATGGATCTTTACCGGTTCCTTGAGTGAAACGGCGGCGTCTAGGGCTTGATTCACCGAATTAGCTTTTTCCACCATGTAAGACTTGAAATCAAACTGGAATTCCAACTGGGTTTCTTTCATTTTGTCAGCTGGTAGCTTCGATTGCTGTTCTTTGGTCAAAATCGCAGAGATCGAAGATGAAGAGGATGAATAAACGGGTTGAGTATATCGGATCGGGTAACGAAAGGCTATAGGTCTGGTTCCAATGGGTGCTCCATAGAACAATGTTGTGAGATTTACAATACTCATTTTTCGATGATTTTAGAGATGGGTTTTGCTCAAAACTGGAGGAAATCGGCGGCGGTGGTGGTGGTGGTCGGAGCTTACCTGAAATAAAGAGTGTTGTTGGGTTGTGAATGATAAGATTGTGAGTTGGATGATGCAATGTTAAAAAGGACAAGAAACTTGTCTTTGAGTGCCAAAATTTGTTCTAATCAAGTAATGGAATCTTATGGTATTTATAGGCCGAAATAGAAGAAAAAATCAAACTAATTTTTATATTTTTTAATCAAACAATTTAAAATATTATTAATTATATATATTATAATCTATACTACCTTATTAAACAAATTTAACAAATGTCTTAAAGTCTTAAAATATTATATGACCAAAATACCCTTATCTATTCTACATTACTTTTCAACCAAATACTATGCCTCTTTCTTCGCTCCAGGATACCATGCCTCTTCCTTCGCTCCAGCTACCCTCCCCAAGACGACGCTGCTTCCATCGCTCCCCTTCCCAAGACGACGATTCAGACAAGTCGTCGCTCCCAATACGACGATTCAGATGACGATTCACTCGAATCATCATCACAATATATTAAAACGAGGTTTCATGTCTTCTTCAATCTTCCATCGTTCAATCCATCTCCAGGTAACATCCAAATTTTCATATACCCATTAGGGTTAGTGGCTGTTTTATCTTGGAGAATTTTTTAACATTCAAAATTAGGGTTAAGTAACTTCATGTCCATTGGGGTTTTCTTATATTTTAGAAATGTAGTGTTGTCTTTTTGGTCTTTTTTTCATTGATGGGTGCTTAGGAAACCCAATCGTTGCATGTTAATTTGGCAAAAGTTAGGCACATGATTGGTTCAATTGCCTGATATCAAAGTATTCTGTGAAGGAAATTGTGGGATGGATCACATGGATTTTGTGGGTATTTGAATTGGTCTTTTCTTGTGTGGAATTCAGCTTACTATAAGAATGAAGTCACAAAACCATATTTTGTATCCACTGCAACTCTTTTTATTCATCTTTATGTTTAATTGCTTGTTTTGCCCCTTAGAAGAAAGCCCAAGAGAACAAAAAAGATTCATCTTTTTGTGAGTACCATCCATATAATCAACTATTGTTTTATGGGTATTTTCAGTTTTTTCGTTTCTGGTTGGTTCATGGTTTTCTTGATGATCCATTTTGCAATTTGCTCTGGTTTCTTCAGGTTTTGCATTGTGTTTTGATTTGGGATTTTGGTGGGCAGCTTGGATTTATACTTTTTCCAAAGAATGCAAAGATGCTCTTGCAGCTTAATTTGTTCTTGTTAGTATGAATTTCAAAGAAAGGGAACCATTAACCGGAGGTTTGTCTTTTTTTTTTTGATGTTTGATTCACTTGTGAATGAAAACTGTCTTATGGGGCATTCAAACGAGTGTACGAAGCGTAAGCGTACTGTTAATCATCACAGTTGGTATTCTTTTCGGCTTCCGTTAAGAGAAAATGCATTTATATTTTTTGGCACATTCACAATAACGATTTTTGCAATGAAAAACCAACTAAAACAGGGCTCTATTAGAGCATGTTCAAAATAAAAATTACCATTTTTACAAACATTCACTAGTAATCTAATACAAATTGGCCATTAAGGAGCGACGATGGACCGTGGAGACGTGGACGAGTTACTAAGATTGTTAAAATTAGACGAATTAATGCAATCAATTTTTGCATGTCCATCCATATTATATATTTGCAAAATTGAAAATAAGATAAATAAAAATTTAAAAATCAAAATATATTATTGATTAAACTATAATTAATAAATATTAAAAAGAAACAAGTCAGTAGAATATTACTGTGATACATGACTTATAATATCATATCGGTAGCATTGAATAAAATAATCATTTCTCTCTCTTCTTCAAGTTTTAGAAAATTCTTTAAATTTGAAGTTTTTTTTTTCATGTTTTCTTTATTTTATAGAGAATCTGTTGGAGCAACGTTGAGAATAAAACCCCTTTCTTTATTTGAGATAATCTACTGGAGATTCTCTTAACAAAAAAGAGCTACAAAAACTTTGAGGATCGTGAAAAACAACTTTCGCATGTTGTTTTATATATACTGTGATGAGATACATGAAAAAGAGCTACATAAAGTGTTGTTTCACAATGTGAAATAAAAAAATAATAATAAAACTAATTACGTTAAACAACATTTTATTTTTCACATACATTATTTTACAACATAAAAACAACTTATAAAAATTGATTCTGACGATTTGTTTTTGTAATTTTGATTTGAATAATACCCTAATCAAATGAGAACTGGTTGTGGTAATCATGAGATCCAATCTCAACCACAAATCAAAGGTTAAATTAGAAAATTAATAATTTTGATAATTTTAACTTAAAATATTAATTAATGGTATTTTAGGGATTTTATAAATATTTTCTCTTATTTCTCCTCTTTTATCTCTCCGGTGAATCTTTTTCTCTATCTGACGAATTTTATTCGGCAAAACTTATTCCGATGAACCTTATTTCAATACAAGATACACATTGTGATATCTACAAATGATATTCACCGTGATACCCATATATACATACAAGATGCACAATATGATACCATTTGTAAAACAATTAAAATAACGAAAATGTACACCATGATACATTTCATAAAACAAAGAAAATACATTGTGATACACGTGAAACATTGTGAATGTTATTACTATGATACACTTTGATTCACAAACGTATTTAGAATATGATGCATATTAGGTAATTGATATACTAGGTAACTAATTTTAATTAAATATTTCTTCTAAAAAATTTAATTAAAATATTTTTATTAGGTGTCAAAAATAGAATTAATATATTACCTTTTTAGTTTATTTAAGAAATATATACTTAAATATCTCAAGTATTAATAATATCTATACACATAGGGGTGTTTGGGATTTGCTTATTTGAAACAACTTATGTTTTTTTACAAAAATTCTTAACAACTTATTATAAGTTAGAATGATTCAATTTCTTCAAAAACTTCTTATTACCGGTTTGACACATGTATAAGTTGTTTATCCAAACACTCAAAAGTGCTTATTATCGGTGTCACACAGGAATAAGTCAATAAGTTGTTTTTATAAGCAATCTCAAACACCCTCTAATTAGTGATAAAAAGTAGACATTAATTAAACAAATTTAAAACAAATAAAAGTCTTATGTGTCTTAATTTTATTGGTGGGAAGAAAATGTAGAAATCTCAAATCTCTAAATTTAGAAAAAAAAAAGAATGGGAAAATCTCTAAATTTAGAAAGAAAAAAAACATACGTGTTGAAACGTTCTTATGCATTTTCTATACATGAAATACAATAATATATCAGAATTTGCAGTGAATTATAGGTTTTGTATATGTGGTTTACACGTATTAACATCGTGTGTCGTCAAATTGAATTATAGGTTTTGTATATCGTTACAAATCATCACCAGCCGCTGAGTTAGAACTTAAAATGCTGAAGCCCTAAAAATGCAAAAAAGCTTATTGATGGGTCAAAGACAACTTATGTTGAAACTCGCTGGCATATATATATATATATATATATATATATATATATATATATATATATATATATATATATATAGATACATAAATAATAATTTAATTTAATTTTTTAATTAAAATAAAATGATAAAAAGACTAAATGGCCGTTTACTAAACGCTTACCCAGTAAGTATTTACCGGGTAATTTTCCTCACCGGATGAATATGGTAAGGGCCAAGAATCTTACCCGGTAAGAGCGATGATAAGGATGGAGAGTCTTACCCGGTAAGTAGAGATGGCCAAATGAGCCGAGCCCGGCCCGGCCCGGGACCGGAACCGGTAAGGACCGGTTATGGGACCGAAAACCGGGACCGCTTGAGGTTTTTGGTAGTTTCGTGGGACCGGGACCGGTTATGGGACCGACTATGGACCGGCCCGGCCCGGCCCAAAAATTCAATTAATTTTATAGATAAATGTATTTTTAAATAATTTTATAATGTATTTTTATAAGAAAACGTAATTTTAATTATATTAAAACGCATTTTTAAAGTGTATTTGAGTGACCCAATTGTAAATTTTATAATGTATTAAAAATATATATCATTAAAAATATATAATAAAAAATCTTATTTTTTTAATGAAGGACCGGTTGGGACCGGTTGGGACCGGGACCGGGACCAGCGGCCCATAACCAGTTATAAAGTACCTATACCGGTCCAATCATTTTCGACCGGGACCGGGACCGAGACCGGGACCGGTTCACCGGGACCGGTTATGGCCGGTTATGAGAATGGTGAGGACCGATTGGGACCGGCCCGGGACCGGTTTTTGGCTATCTCTACCGGTAAGTGAGGGTAACGACTCTTACCCGGGCAAGCGCTTACAAGATAAATTGTTGCATATGATACGTTTTGATGTACTACAATCTTACCCAATATAATAAATTATAGTGTTAATTCCTAACGTTAAGCACTTACCTGGTAAATATTTAGGTAAACAGCCCCTAAGATACCTTAAAACTAACTGAGTTAACTTTAACAAGTTAAAAAAGGGACCCAAAACATCAAAAAGAAAAGAAAAAAGTTCTAAAAAACCCCTAACGAATTTTCTTGTTTTAAATGATCAAGTCTTTAAACTATTCTATTGATTTAAAATTGAATGATTAAATCATGAACATTTTTTTTGAAAAGATAAATCATCAAATCTTTAAGTAGCATCTGAGAGACGGTAACATCGATTTAGGTCTTTTTTGTATTTTAAAACATTTTTATACGGTTACATCTAGTTTTTTTATCCAACCAATTTATAGAACTTCGATAACTTCTTCAAGAAAATTATATACGGACTAAATGACATGAACAAAAACGTGTAATTAACCTAGAATTTATTTATCTGAAAATAAGAAAGTTGAATGTGTATGTGCTAAAAACGTTCTAAATTCGGTTAAATATACAATGCAAAAAAGAAAGGGACATAACACGAGACGTTTGGTTGATATTAAATTGATATAAAAATCATACAGATACAAAAGTTATTAGATGTGGTTAAATAAGAGAGCATTTGTAGTTAAGGGTATTATTTTTTATCGAATCAGATCAGTTAAAATATGTATAAATCATACCAATTAAACT